ACGGGAAGAGAAAGAAAGAATGAATTGAATGACAAGAAAGAGGGTCGAAAATAGAGAAGGATCACTAGGGTACCCCGGGTTCGTGAAGCCCGTGTTAACCAAAGACAGTAAACCCCGTGGGAAAAGGAAAAGATCACTAGGGCACCTCGGGATTGTGACACCCGTACTCACCTAAAGAAGGTGAGCCCCCTGAGGGGATGTTCCCCCTAGAAACAATACATGTAGCAAAAAGTGACAGCATAATAGACAGGAGGCTTCTTGTAGCAATCAATCCCATTCCTGCTGTAAGGGATGTTGGGATATTGAACTGAAAAGGAACCTAATTTAGTATGTTCCCTCTAGAAACAATACATGTAGCAAAAATGACAGCATAATAGACAGGAGGCTTCTTGTAGCAATCAATCCATTCCTGCTGTAAGGGAAGTTGGGATATTGAACTGAAAAGGAACCTAATTTGGGTATGTTCCCTCTAGAAACAATACATGTAGCAAAAAGTGACAGCATAATAGACAGGAGGCTTCTTGTAGCAATCAATCCCATTCCTGCTGTAAGGGATGTTGGGATATTGAACTGAAAAGGAACCTAATTTAGGGTATGTTCCCCTCTAGAAACAATACATGTAGCAAAAAGTGACAGCATAATAGACAGGAGGCTTCTTGTAGCAATCGATCCCATTCCTGCTGTAAGGGAGTTTTTAGCTCTGGTACGGTTCTCGAAAGGGATGGGGAGATGTAATTTCTCTCCCAAGAGCCGTTAGACAAACACGTCAACATTAGGAATTTGTCGGATTTAAAATGCAAAATTTTCTTGTGGTCTTTATATGATGCTATAAGAGGCAGACTCATTATATATATATATATATATATATTCTCATTAAACTGTCAATCAGGCTTATGCAGCCCATTTTTCTCAGAGTTCATGATTTAAAAAAATATTTTATAAAAATACTAAAAACATTTAATGCAATAAAAAAAGTTTTTAGGTACAAAACAATATTCAAGGGATTTATATATAAAGATGGTTACAAAAGATTAAAAGAAATATCATAAAAGTATCTGTAAAATGTATTTTTTTATTGGAGGTCAGATTACGTGTGGGGTGGGGCTTAATTTTACTTAAAGCATACAATAATTTGATTTACTAGATTCAAGAATTGGCTTAATCTAACAAAAATTTCTCGCCACTTTGAATTACGATGACATGATGAGTGAGTGAATATTAACGTCGCATTGTTTAGCTACACGAGGGCTTTTGGCGACGGACCGCGTAATTTTGAACCATGGTCAAGTGACGCGGACGACACCTGAGCTGGCATCCCCTTCTCCTAATTACCATACCAACTGGAGGACGTTTGAGCTCTCGACAGATTTAATGTGCATCGCCCCTACACGGCGGGTCTTCAGTGGTACTGGGCTCGAACTCATGACATGCTAGCCATGATCTGATACCTTGACCACTTGGCTATCGCGGCCATGAAATTATGAGATTGACATCTGAACTGGCCTCTTTTTTTCTACATTCCTTGCTCATAAGCGACTATTTTTCAGGAAGAAGTTTTTGTTTTGAATTTCGTAGTAAAAATTATTGCTAAGTACACACTTTCCAATACTGAAGTTATATGAGTGAAAAAAAGGACTTCGCAATTTTTTTGACTGGTTATGCTTCAGCAGCACAGAGCGATATTGTGGACTTAGATAATCATCCCCGTGTGATGGGGATAATTATCTCACAAAATTTCTCTTGGTTCCTTTTGACTTATCATTCCACAAGTACCATTGTTCCTCATACCAATCTCAGATTGTATCAATAGCAAAATAAAAACAAAATTGATCATATTTCTGAAGTTTAGAAACATTATTTGGGAAATACAAAGGAGATACATTTTTCTCAGTAAAAATACGACAAATATTATAAACCTATGTAATCTACTAAACCTGCCTTACCTTCATCATGTGTTTCTGAGTGCGTTTCTGCCTCGAATTCATCTACAGATCTTTTTGAAATGCGAATTTCTTCTGGATGATCGCTAGCATTTTGGTCCCATTCTCCTGCAGATTCCATGGTACGTTCCAATGGAATACCCAAAAGTTCTTTGTTTTTATTAAATTTTGAAGATCCTTGATGAAATATTTTTAAAATAAATTAATGCACGTTGTAAAAAATTGACAGTAAATTAATTATGCCAAATATTTAAGAAAATCTTCAAATATAATTAATAAATAAATTCAAACATAGCTTACGTTATCGGAAATAATAGAATGTTTTGTTTTGCTTACATTCAAGCAAAGATTCTTAAGTAGAGGAAATTCTTATAATGATGCTCAGATAGTAAGATAAAAGTGATGCATATATAATAAAATAACGATGTGTGCAATTTTTTTTGTCAACGTTATTGATTCTAACGAAAGGGAAAAATTAGAATAAGGTTATTAAAAAGAAAAAGAGAATTATTTGCAAAAAATAACGAAAGTCTTATTTTGAATAGAATCCATTATAAATCAGGTTTTCCGATTGTAAGAAATATACAGCAATCCAACCGCAAAAATTCAAAAGAAATAAAAGTATTTCTGAGAATTTTGTTAATGATGCATTTAAAAAACTGACTTAGAAATAATTGCCTGAAGTAAAAATTCAGTCTGATCGCACCGTATTGAATCCATCTACTAAACATTAAAGGCATTCATTGATTACATAAAGAGTTATGAAACCATAAAATATGAAACGTACTTTTCATAGAAAAGCCTCTAAAATCCAGTAAGAGTATTCTTAATTTCGATTTATGGAGACTCCTAAATCATAATGATGTCGATGTATTGATATTGGGATAGACAGTGATTGCAAATTTAAATACATGCTTGTCGACGTTTTATAAACGACAACTTGTTCGCCTAAATAATAAAAAACCACTGAAAAATATATAAGTGAAACACATAAAACCATTTCATGATTCGGTTTAAAGTTGTTGTTTTTTAATGTTTTTTTATGTTCCATTCTTGAAAAGAATCTATTCATACTTATAAAACTATTTTTAAAAAATAAATGCAGGTGATGCAGAACGATCCGGAAAAAAACAGTGCTCTGAAGTAATTGTTGATTTAGCAATGACTTATAACTTCAAAAAATGCTTTCCTATAAATTATTCAAATGTAAAATTGTTCAATAACACCATCAAAATTTTCAAAAAAATATCAATAAATTGTTCAATAACATCAAAATTTTAAACATAATAAAGGAAATATAGTTTATCATTTGCTAAAAAAAGGTTATAAAAACTTATTATATTCTTTTAAGCGCTTAATATTAATGAAGTTAAAAATGAATATATGCGATAAAAATTGCAATTTTTTTTTGTGCTGTGATTATTTGAAAACAACACCCATAATACCTGGCTGCATTATGAAGCTATATTGCATTTCTAACATAACAAGCATTTGGCGGTACAGAATAATATTTTATTTAAAATTCTCGACTTAAGGGTTTAAAATAGAATATTTTAGTCACACACATAAAATAACTAAAGAAGGGTTTTTTATTGTTAAAATGAATATTATAAAAAACCTGAAGTTTATTTTTTAATTCAAAATAAACCATTTGTATGAAATCAACAAAAACAACAGATCAATAGTATTGGAAATTGGTTTAGCTCAAATTAATACAAATAGAAATAAGAGAGTCGAATACTACAGAGAAGCAGAAAGAATATCTTAGCCCAAAATTCAAATAGAAAAAAAAACAATATATTAATAATTTAGTCTGTAATAATGATTAAAATGCACAATATATCTATATAAATAATAAATTCTTTTCAATAATTTTATCCGTGGATTTAAAAATTATGAAAAAGACTTCTGGTTTTTTTTAACATCATTGGTTTTATTAAATATATGCTTCCTTTTTATATTATTGCTATATGGAGTTTAAAAACTGTAGATAATATCTAATATCTATCTATCTATCCATATATATGTATATATATATATATGTTTTATAACTATTTTAGTATTCCATATCCTATGTAATACATATTTCACATCGACATTTTCCCAAAAATTTAGAATGTATTTTATTCACAAAATTAGATATAAACTAAAATTAAGGTATGTTATGAAAAAGGAATGCTTTAATGAACACGACGATATTTTTAGACAATTTTATATAATTCTAACAATATAATTTAATAATATAATAAATACATTAATGTAACTCAAATGTAATATAAAATATTTTATTTTATATTTTTTTAGTTTGAGTGCGTGAGGCCAGTCTGGGTTGCAGCGGATTTCATTAAAAGTATTTGAAACTGAAACCAAATAAAAATTTACAAATCTTATAAAATAGATTTAAAGAAAATAAAACGGTTGAGATTCGATTTTTTTACGTAGAAAATAGCCAAATAAATGACTTTTAGAATGCTGAATTATCACTTAAACTGGAAAAAACTAAAGGGGATGTATATATCTCGCTATTTTTTCCCACGAACCCAATATATTGCATTCGTTCTAGAATTTTAAAAAAATACGACTAGCTTGCTGAATTAATTTGAAAATTTTTGTTCGTACTAGGCAATGCAGCATCCCATTCTCTCAATGAATAATCTTTCTTAAATAAATCGTTTAATGTGTTGTAAACAAATAAATACAAAAATTTAATATTTTATACTAACTATAAAAAGTGTTATAATTTTTTAACTGAAAGTAAACAAGCAATATAAAAAAATGTTCAAGTCAATTCCTACTTAAATCAACAAAAAGAAAAAATTTATTTTAGTTACTTTTTATTAAATAGTTACAGTTCTTATAAATATGTATATACATATGATAGAATGACAATATTTAAGCGACAAAATAGAAAGAGATTTTGTTTGCAATTTTCCATTTTCCTTTCTATATAGGGTGTTGGACTAATTTTTTTATTTTTGTTATTATTTACCCTATAATTAAGTTTAATTTTTCTAATAAACTAGTACAATAAAAAGGAAATCACATCCTCAGAAATTAGGCCATCCCAGGTGAGATTTGAACCCACGACCTTTGGATTAGAAGTCCAACGCGCTATCCATTGCACTACAGGGACACAACGAACAGTTTTCCTTTCTATATAGGCTGTTGGACTATTATTTTTGTTTGTAACTTTTTTTCATTTTTTAATTTAATTAATGAATTAATATTTGAAAAAACTGTATTCACTACAAGTTTTAAAAAATGTATTTGAAGTTGAATGGATGAATAGAAAGTATTTTATTAATGATTAAAAATTTGAACACGATTATAAATATATATGTGTGTGTGTATATATATATAGGGAAAGAATGAACTAATAGTAGGAATTGAAAAATAGCCTCATTTATAAATCCGAATCAAATAACTGCAATAGTAAGGAACCCTTTCTCAGAAGCGAAGTGTTTGTATCTTTTTTTAAAACAAAATTTAGTTTTTCATTGGCTAATGAAATCCAAGGGCTTTCGCTCTTTAATTGTATTGAATAATGTTGAAATTCTACTTTCAATTATAACTTGCGTGATCTTTCACTCCATCACGCTACCACATACAACAAATATGTGAAACATTAAAGCAAATATTGCTTCCAATTAAAGATGGAACGAAATCTAAGATTGTTTAAAACAATACATTTTTATTCTTAGTGATTTTACGTACTTTGAGGCCTGGAATGAAATTGCGTTTTAGTACAATAAAAATAAATCGATTCTATCGCGTGATTAGGTTTTTAACAGCATGCAATAAATGCAAACACCATGAATGATTGAGTAACTCGAACAATCAAAAACCTTTGGTCATTTTTAAGACGAAACAGTTTAAAATAAAGGTGGAAAGATCTGAAATGAAATTCCCTTCTAAGATCAAAATAGCTTACTTGCCATCAAAGTATTTACTTGAAATTGAAAAAAATGAAAATGGCGATATCCAGCTAAATGGGTTGATAGGACAAGTGATCAATCTAGTGTCTTCGAAACTGAAATTCCAGTACGAAATACAAAAACCACCCGACAATGAATTTGGAGTGCAAAAAAAGGATGGTAATTGGACGGGATTACTAGGAATACTACAAAGGAAAGAAGCAGATATGGTTTTCAGCGTTGCTGTTACAGAGGAAAGATCACAAGTTGTTGATTTCAGCATACCCTACACATTTGAGGACGCAACTTTTATACTAAGGAAACCCGCTCCATTGATCCAAAGGACGTTTTTTATCAAGCCATTCCATTTAGAAATCTGGTTAGGACTATTTATGTTTTTAATATGTGCCACGGTATTGTCAAATTACTTTCTGCAGAGAAGAATATCTTTTATCGAAAGATTTTTTAATCTGTACAGTATGATGTTGGATCAATCTCTGTGTCTACCAATCAAATCGTTTAAGGGTAAAGTCATGTTTTCTTTCATACTATTTTCAATGCTAGTGATATCTAAGAGTTATTCCACCTGTCTTCTATCTTACTTAGCTATACCGTTTCAGCCTCGCCCTATTCAAACCTTTGAAGAACTTTCAGACGCTGTAAAAAGTAAAAAGTTTAGATGTCTTGTGGAGAAGGGAAATAGTTTAATATCTTTTATGCACAAAGCTGAACAAGAGCACTCAAAAGTACTCATTAAAACCATCGAGAAAAACAACTGGTTCTTTGAAAAACTCGATGAAAATGACGAGAAGACATTAGATGGAAACACGGCAATTATTGGATCTCGATACCCTTTACAGATTTTCAGAGCAAGCTTCGATTCTGATTTGTTTGAAATATCCGACGATGTGTTTATGGTTAGGAATTTCGCAATTGCCTTCAGGAAAAATTTTTGCTGCAAGAAGATGATAAATAATGTGATTTCCGGGATATTTACAGCCGGTTTTATTGAAAAATTCAAAAGGGATGTGTGGACTAAAATTTTGATACAGTCTAAAGAAGTCCAATTTGAAATTGAAACTCACCATCAAATCACTGTGCATGACTTGTCAACTTTGTTGTTTATTGTTCTGGGAGGGTATGCTTTATCCTTCGTAGCGTTAATAAGTGAAATTGTTTTCTCTCGCTTAAAAAAGTAGTATTTTACTATTGAAGAATATAAACCGTGAGCTGAACTAGTGAAACAGATCTTTTGAAATTCTAGTAACTAGAAATGTCAAATTTATTTCTTATCGAAATTTATAGCAAACAAGTTGAATATTTTGTTACAAATAAGTATTAATTAGTATAAATAAATTGTTTTCTCAAAATGGTTTTCAGAGAGTGTTCAGAAATGCTTCGAAGTTAAACTCTAGTGCCTCTAAAAGAAGGTCCAATCATTAATTTCTTAACTGTTTAGAAACATAATCCGAATTCTGTTCAATTATACAATAAGCAAGTCGTTCAAGAAATTAAATTCATTCATTAAGCTTTATTAGATGGTTTCAAAATGTAACAAATACATTATTTCAACTTTTTTAGATTACTGGCTTACACTTTTGTAACCACAGGTTACATACATCGTTGGTTCTATATATGATAGTTTGTGCATGATAATGGGTGTACGATTATGCATAATCAATAATGGCTGTGAAATATCAGCTCAAGGAAAATTATTGTGATCATTCTACTATTTTTGTCTTCTTTTTTTTTTCACTATTTCTTCTTCAGTAATTTTACAATACTAACATTTTTGTAAGACAAAAGAATAAATTCTAGCTCACATAATCGTATTGAATTATATATAAAAATATATATATATATAACAACGATGTTAATATGCCTCATTTAAAATGAAGAAAATAATTGACATGTTCTTTCTGTAAAATTGTGTTTTACCAATTTGCATAATAAGTTATCCTTTATTTTTCACATTTCATATGAAAAACTTCTGCATAATTTTTTCTATATTATGAATCAAAAGTTATCCATTGTTTAATAAAATTTATTCTTGAATATTTTTAGATTCAGAAAAATTTCTTATTACGTTATAAATTTTGACTCCTTCCATTTAGCAAACGATTAAATCTAAATACAATTAACATTAATATATTTATTGTAGCTCATTTCCTGCTGTTCTTTTTATTTCTCATAAATTCTTTGGAAAAAGTTAAATAAACGTTACCTAATAATTTTTAAGTGTATAAAATATTTCAATTTACCTTTTTTGGCTACATTCAAAGTTAATTTTTTTTCAACTACTCTAACTGGATCTCTTGGTGTCAAAATCCGCTGTGATTCTACGCGATCTATAAAAAAAATTTTCACATAATATTAAATTACAAAGGTATATCAATTACAGAGCTAGAAAAAGAATTTACTCAAAGTTATACATGTTTTTTCTGAAAAAAAACCTGTTAGAAATGGTCGATAAAATATGCATCATCTTCGCTTACATATCTTAAAAAATATCAAGCAAAGAATTTTAAAAAATATATACTGTTTCTTTCGGATGGCGTTGGATCAAAAAGCATTAATTATATGTTTATAGACACCAATTGCAATTTGATACTTTGAAATAATTTTATCAACACTTTATAAATTTCTCACACTTTTAGTTATAGAAAAGCTCAAAGCCTTTATATCAGGGGTGGTCAACCCGCGGCACACGTGCCACAGTGTGGCATGGCGGAGTTGTAACATTGGCACGCGAAGACTTATTGAAAAATTTGAAAATATAAATAAAGATAACATTTTTTGTACAGTTTTATAAAAATGTGGTTGTCTCAGACAAAAACCTCAAATTTTACTTTAAACACACTTAGTTAATTGAATTAAAATAGAAAATTATCATGTAAATCATGGGGGTCTAAACTATGACTGCTATGTAGTTTTATCAAAATAAATTAACTTATTTTTATTATAATTTTCTTAAATTTAAATTAGACATGAGAATAGGTACATATTTTTTTTTAATTTGTAAAAGTTTCTTTTCATTTAGTTTGGATTTCATAAAGATGGGGGGAAATCAAGTTATGAGATAATGAAATTGCGTTTGTGTTGAACAAGCAAATCGATATCGGGTTCAATAGATGAAGTTGCATTTCTTAATGCATTTTCAAGATGTTTGTCAGTGAGTGATCTTTGTCCTATTTTTGTTTTTTGTATGCTTCATTCTTGGAAAATAACTGTTCGCAAATATAAGTACTGACAAAAGCTGAAGACATTAATAAAGCATGAGTGTGAAAATGAGGATATTTATCAAGGTGTAGGTAATCTTCATAAAACTCCAATATAGATTCTAGTTGTAATTATATTGCACAAAATATCTTCATGATAAATATTTGTGAAAGATACTTACTATCTTGGTAATCCAATGAAGCATCTTTTGATAGTGCTATTTTAAGAGGCAACTTTTCTACTTTTTCCGACACTTTTAATCCTAAAATAGATACTTCCATTAGAAATAATTTATGCGTTAATTTTAAGTAAAATGAAAAGTTTTTAATTTCTAGATGTAAAATAAATTCCTTATTCTGAATTAAATAATTATAAAATAATTGTATACTTTATGAGTGTTATATATATATTTATAAATGAGCGTAAGAGTTAATTAATATCATTTATATATCAGAATATCTATCTCTTTGTTTTATTACTTTTTTGTTTTGTTTTATGACCTATAAGTAATTCAAAATAAGCCTTAAATAGATTGTTTATATAACAAAGATATTTATACACATTTAACTATCATTATTTCAATAATTTTGGTTTGTTTTTCATCACTTTTAAATACATTTACAGTTTTTTATAATTTTATTTTTTTTAAATAAGCTAGAGTTCTTAGAATATTCAGACAAACGTTAAGTACAGGCACACAAGCATTTATTAACCTGACTATATTTCTGCTCTTTTAAACCGATGTCATGTATTTCTTTAAAAAATAATTTGTGTATCGAATATTCCGTATTTATATTGTGGTAGTAAATGTATGTTAAATGTTACAAATATAACTGATATCACATACAACAACTATTGCATTTAATTCTTACCCTGTTATTTTATTATCATCGTAATGCAGTGTTTCTCAAACAGCGAGGTGCACCTCCCTAGGGGAGCGTGATAATCTTACAAGGGGGGCGCGAGCATATTGAAAATTCGAAAACAAAAGATCATTTTA